ACCTGGAAATTGAAGCTCCTGCAGGCGAAGTCCCTCTCGCTGTCACAGTACTGCTTACACTCCGCGGGGTCGAAGACGTTGGTGAAGAAGCGGTCGAAGAAAGGCAAGAAGCGGCCCTCGTAGTTGGCGTAGTCGCAGTTCGGAGGGTCTGGAGGGAGAGAGAGAATGACGTCATGAAGCTGCGAATGGGGTCTGGGAAGGGAGGAGAGAGAGAGAGTGACGTCATGAAGCTCGAATGGGGTCTGGGAGGGAGGGAGAGAGAGATAGTGACGTCATGAAACTGCGAATGGGGTCTGGGAGGGAGGGAGAGAGAGAGAGTGACGTCATGAAACTGCGAATGGGGTCTGGGAAGGAGGGAGAGAGAGAAAGAATGACGTCATGAAACTGCGAATGGGGTCTGGGAGGGAGGGAGAGAGAGTGACGTCATGAACCTGCGAATGGGGTCTGGGAGGGAGGGAGAGAGAGAGAGTGACGTCATGAAGCTGCGAATGGGGTCTGGGAGGGAGGGAGAGAGAAAGAATGACGTCATGAAACTGCGAATGGGCTGGGAGGGAGGAGAGAGAGAATGACGTCATGAAACTGCGAATGGGTTCTGGGCAGGGAGGGAGAGAGAGAAGAATGACGTCATGAAACTGCGAAATGGGGTCTGGGAGGAGGGAGAGAGAGATGACGTATTGAACGCTGCAAAATGGGGGTCTGGGAGGGAGGGAGAGAGAGAAATGACGTCATGAACCTGCGAATTGGGGTCTGGGAGGAGGGAGAGAGAGAGAATGACGTCATCAAACTGCGAATGGGGTCTGGGAGGGAGGGAGAGAGAATGACGTCATGAACCTGCGAATGGGGTCTGGGAGGGAGGGAGAGAGAGAGAAAGAATGACCATGAACTGCGAATGGGGTCTGGAAGGGAGGAGAGAGAGAGATGGACGTCATGAAACTGCGAAATGGGTCAGGTCTGGGAGGGAGGAGAGAGAATGACGTCATCAAACTGCGAATGGGGTCTGGGAGGGAGGGAGAGAGAGAGAATGACGTCATCGAAACTTGCGAATGGGGTCTGGGAGGGAGGAGAGAAGAGAATGACCATGAAAACTGCGAAAATGGTCTGGGAGGGAGGAGAGAGAAGAGAGAATGACCGTCATCAAACTGCGGAATGGGGGTCTGGGAGGGGGGGAAGAGAGAGAGAATGACGTCATCAAACTGCGAATGGGGTCTGGAAGGGAGGAGAGAGAGGAAGAGAGTATGTCATGAAACTGCCGAATGGGGTCTGGGGATGGGAGGGAGAAAGAATGACGTTATGAAAGCTGCGAATGGGGTCTGGGAGGGAGGGAGAGAGAGAGAATGACGTCATCAAACTGCGAATGGGGTCTGGGAGGGAGGGAGAGAGAGAGAGAATGACCATGAAACTGCGAATGGGGTCTGGGAAGCGAGAGAGAATGACGATCAAACTGAATGGGTCTGGGGAGGAGAGAGAGAGAGAATGACGTCATCAAACTGCGAATGGGGTCTGGAGGGAAGAGGAGAGAGAGAGAATGACGTCATCAAACTGCGAATGGGGTCTGGGAGGGAGGAGAGAGAGAGAATGACGTCATCAAACTGCGAATGGGGTCTGGGAGGGAGGGAGAGAGAGAGAATGACGTCATCAAACTGCGAATGGGGGGGAGGAGGAGGAGAGAGAGGAGAATGACGTCATTCAAACTGCGAATGGGGGTCTGGGAGGGAGGGGAGAGAAGAGAGAATGACGGTCATCAAACTGCGAATGGGGTCTGGGAGGGAAGGGAGAGAGAGAGAGGAATGACGGTCATCAAACTGCGAATGGGGTCTGAGGGAGGGAGAGAGAGAGAATGACCGTCATCAAAACTGCGAATGGGGTCTGGGAGGGAGGGAGAGAGAGAGATGACGTCATCAAACTGCGAATGGGGTCTAGAAGGGAGAGGGAATGACGTCGACGTTGGATATGTGACGTCATGACGTCCATTGCGAAATGGCAATGGACGTCGGGAAATGATGTTGCGACATTGGTAATGATGTCACTGGATTACTAATGACGTAGATCACTAATGACGTCACTAAATTACTAACGACATCGCTAGATTAATAATTAATGACATCACTATTTTACTAATGATGTCACGGAATTGCTAATGACGTCACCAATTCCTAATGATGTCATGGAATGGCTAATGAAGTTTCTAAACCCTTGATGACGTCATTAAACAACTAATGACGTCACTAGAACACTAACATTCGTTATGTTTTTTTATCTAGTAAAAGAAAAAAGTGCTATTTCCTGTTACAAAACTAGGCTTTTAAAATTAACGCTTTTGGTCGATTCTGAAGCAAATTCCGTAAAGACATAAAGGTCTGCATTTATCATAACATTACAGAACAGATTTATATAATTCTAAAAATCATATCAAACCTCATTTATTTATGTTATTGGAACCTCCACATACATATTTTTTTTCTGGGCGAATTTAAGATAATCTCTTACTTATCAATACTAA